ATATAAATAAATAAAATCTTAAAAAAAAAAAAAAAGACTTTCAAGAGCTTACAGACTGGAGGAGGAAAGGGGCCTTCAGGCCACTGGCCACATCCAAAGTTGGAGTTGGTGTGGACCACTTACATTTGCTCCAGCAGAATTCGAAGGAAGAAGTGGTTAGTGATGAGCTGGGGGCAGGGGGGATCCAGGAGGCCTTCACAGAAGATGTGCTTTGGCTGAGCTCTGAAGGATAGAAAGGATTCCTGGCAGTGGAGGTTGAGGGACCATCCTGAGCAAAGGAAGAAGGCAGCCCCCTTGGGGCCTCGGCCATCCCCAGGTCTTTTCATGGAACCTTCTTCAAGAAATGGCTTCCTAAGGAGTTCATGGAGAGGATCTCCCAGCTGGACACCAAGTCACCTGTTACCAAGATCAACGGTAAGAGGCACACACAGATTGCAAAGCTGTCTCTTTTGACATTATCTGAGTGAGAAATCTCCCAGTTTTGGAAAAACTGACTTATATCATCATCTCTACTCCCTCGCCTCCACCCTGCCCCCCCCATACTTTTTCTTTCCAATCCACCACTTGGGTGAGCAGGGTGATGGGCAGAGAAGGAGGATCCTGGAAGCCGAGGACCGAGGCCTTTGGGCCCTCGCCCTCCTCTTTGGTCCCTCAGTGGCTGTCGACAGGCTGCCTGACTTCCTGGTGGCCCCCAGTGCTCCCGGCAGCCAGCCACTGCCCCATCACCAGGGCTCCATCCACCTGAACTGTGAAGACACACTCCTCCCCCACCAGGCCTTCGAAGATGCCGTGGACGGCCTGCCTTCCCACAGGTGGGTGGGCCCTGGGCTTTGTGTCCCCTGGGACACTCCTACACACACGGGCTGGGGAAGGGGTGGGTGACTATCTAGACACAGAGGGGATTGCCTCTTCCTCCTGGTACTTAACAGTCACAGTGTCTTAGGATCTACCTCAATCCATACTTAGGTTCCAAGGAGAGGAAGCTCATCCCAGGCGATAAGTCTGTGGGCCAGGGCAGGTGAAGAGTAAAGAGTAGGATGCGGTGCAGCCAAGTGTCACAGATTAGCAGAAGGGGCAAAGGATTGCAGAGAGAACAGCACTGGCATTTGGGAAGAACTGGAGAAAATGCTTTCTGGGAGAGAAGAGGTCTCTCTGACTCAGCAGCCCATCAGAGGGCACACACTCACCCGATCTCGCTGCTCCATATTCTCTTGTCTCTGATAAGCCGCCTTCATGCAAAACTTCTAGAAGCATTTCCGACCTCCCAGCCCAGCTGAATCTCCATCCTTCGGAGACAGGCAGGGATGTTTCAGGAGCAAGTATCTTTCTATACTGTCAATTGTCCCCCAGAGCTTGTTGAAAACCTGTTCTGTGTGGGACTCTCTATTAAGTGTGGGTTAGGGGAGTTGGGGTCAGGCAGGGGCCTGAAAGAGACACAAAGCTTATCACAGGGCAGGCACACAAATTCTTATAGCATGGTGTAAAGAGGATGTGCACCCTGGGAGAAGGCTAGAAGGCAATGTCCATTTATTCATTCATAAATATTTTGGAGCTTCTACTCTGTGCCAGGCTTAGCCCAGGGACCTGGGCACAGAGCAGCAAGCAAAGTCAACATGGCTTCTGCCCTCGGTTCACTGACTTTCTATGGTGGAAGGCAAGACAATCAACAAACATGCACTGATAGTATGGAGAAAAATAAGTCAGAGGAGCAGATGGTTCGCTAGTCTTCATAAGGAGGTCAGGAAAGAAAGGCATCTCTGACAGCATGGTGTTTGAGCTGAGACCCATAGGAAATGAGAATAAAGGTCTTATAAATACCTGAGGAAGAACATCCAGGCAGAGGGCAAGTCATGTGCAAAGGCCCTGGGGCAGGAGTGGACTGCTGTGTTGGAGGCACAGGGATGTAGCCAGAGAGGCTGGAGAAAGAGAACCTGGGAGCGAGGGGAGGTGGGGAGGGTCCCAGAGCTGCAGCTGGGCCCTGTCAGCCACTCCTGGCTTTTACTCCTGGAAAGTTTGTGCCAAGCCTGACTTCCATTTTGGAAAGACCACTCTGGCTACTGTTGGGAGGAAAAAAGGCATCTGTTGCAATTGGTGACTACTGCAGAATCCAAGGGACAGAAGACGGTGGCCTGGACCAAGGTGGGGACGGCAGAAGTGACGAGAAGTGGCCAGATAACTGGGTATTTGAAGGTGAAGCTGCCTGCATTTGCTGCTGACAGGAAGTGGGGTGTGAGCAAAAGAAGTGCCACTGGAAGAAGGTGTTTGTCTTTATAAAAAAGGGGAACCTGGTGTGTGCGGGGAGGAGCAGGCTTTAGGCATGCGGGTTTGGACAAGTGACTCTGGAGATGCCTAGTGGACATCCAGGTTCCGAGGACACATCGCAAGTGAGGGATGCGGGGAGAGAGGGCGTTTCACGCGGCCTCGAAGGTGGTCATATTTGGAGATTGGAGGGCGGCGTGCTCCGAGTAGACGTGGCATTGTAAGCAGGGGAGGGGCGGGAGACCGTCGGGGCTCTGGCGGGTGGCTGCAGCCCCAGCAGCTCTGGTTTGCACAGGCTGCTCAGGGCAAGGTGTGCAGACGGGGTAACCTGGGCTGAAATCAGCCGCCTGACGGCTGCTGCCCTGGGCCTGGCCCTTTCCCCCGTGTGTGCTGTCTGCTGGGCCCGTCACAGCGCAGGGGGCGGTGGACACAGGTGGGGACAGGCACGCAGGTGGAGGGAGGCTACGTGGGACCTGAGAGTGGGGGCTGTGCATCTGAGGCTGGGAGCTCCTCCGGGGTGGTCTGGGCCGTCCCAGGGGGCACGGAGCCCGTGCGGGCCAGCAACCGCCACAGCCTCGCAGACACCCCCTCATCTCGCCCCAGGCCTGCCTTCCTCCGGTCCCTGTCACCTCGGAGCCACTCCCAGCCCCTTCCCTTGGGGCGGCTGCTTCTCTTCACACCTGACCCTCTCTCCTCCCCCCTGCGGCAGGCCTCTGATTGAACTCTGCATCCCTTCCTCGCTGGACCCCACCCTGGCTCCCCCCGGCTGCCATGGCGTCTCCCTCTTCACTCAGTACACGCCCTACACACTGGCTGGAGGCAAGGTGTGGGATGAGCAGGAGAGAAATGCATATGCAGACAAAGGTAAAGAGGGCAGCCCGTCCTGTTTCTCAGTGACAGCTGGGACCCCTCCCCCCCTGATTGCCCCATTCAGGATTAACACCTGGTAAGTCCTGTCCCAGAGGAAGAGAAGTACCGACTGGTACCGAACGGAACCTGAGCCAACACAGTGAATGCCTGCTGGGGCCAGGCACTGGGCAAAGAAAGCCTAAAAGACACAGTTCCTCTCCTTAAGTTGCTCACAGTCCAGTCACGGTTTGGGGGAAACCAATCTTACAATACAACGTACTATGTGAATCAAAGGTGGAAGCTATTTGCCAGAGAGACAAGGAGAGCTTTCCAAAGGAAGGGACATTTGAGCTGGGTTTAAAAGGATGAATAGGAGTTGGCCAGGCAGCAGTGGGCATTCCAAGCAAAGAGACAACTTGAGCAAAGCGAGGAAGTGAAGAAAGCTTTGCATATTCATGGGAGACAAGTAACTTTGTGGTTAGGGTTGGGGTGAGCGGGTGGGAATGTGGGGTAGACCCACAGGCCTTTGTAATGAATTATTTACTTGCCCATGGACTGTTTTTATTTTTTGCTTATTGAGATATGATTTGCGTATGATAAAATAAGCCCATTTTAAGTGTGTAGTTTAATGAATTTTCATAAATTGGCCAAGTTGTACAATCCTAGCGCCTCATCTTCTTCCTCCTCACACCATCTCATTTCTCTGCTGTTTGGTACCCAGTGTTTGACTGCATCAAGGCCTACGCTCCTGGCTTCAAGGGTTCCGTGATGGGCAGGGACGTCCTCACACTACCTGATTTGGAGAGAATCTTCAGGCTTCCTGGAGGGGTGAGTATAAGACCGGGGGGTCCCTCGTCACATTCTTCTCCCTGCATCCCCACCCCCTGGCATGCCCACTCAGCTTTCTCTTGTCCCTCCACACCCAGCCTGTATCGGGAAGGGAGGATGGTGCAGAGACCACAGTGGAAGGGGACAGAGAAGTAGTCTGACCTAGGGAGTGGGAAAGAGTGAGGAGATCAGACAGGAGAGACAGTGCCTGATAAGCAAGTCACCAGGTCCATGGCCCCCGCTGTCTGGACATCCATGGCCACCTCTCCCATCTGGCTTTCTTCAGAGGGAGCTCCCCTCTTAAGGCAGCACGTCCTTGGACTTGACTTTCTGATTTATCAAAACCTTGCTGACACTGGGGACAGAGGGACCAGCTAGGAGGCCAGGTCCCTATGGCAGCCACCAGCTTCATGTGGCTCTTGGTGGCTCCCGTAGGGTGAGGCCAAACGGAGGTGGGCTGCACATGCCACCTGCCCACCAACCTTCAGAGCCTTAGGATAAAAAAAATGGAACACATCTCATTAATAATTTTTATACTGATCACATGTTGAAATGATAATGTTTTGGATCTATTAGGTTAAATAAAATATATTATTGACATTCATTTCACCGGTTTCTTTTTAAATTTTAATGTGGCTCCTAGAAAATAAAAATTGCACATGTGGTTCATGGTATGTTTTTATTGGACAGCGCTGGTCCAGGAATAGAGCTCAGGAGACCAGGCAGTGGGGACTGAATGGAGCAGAGGGATATGGGAGGCGTGGGGCAGGCAGAACTGAGGGGTCTCGGTACCTTGTGCATGCAGAGGTCAGGGCAGAGGTGACGGGAAGGGTCCACCTGGAGGCCCAGGCAGGGAAGGTGATGCCGCCCTCCGAGGTGGGGAAGGTGGGAGAGAGCAGACTCAGCAGGGGAGGATGAGGTCAGCTTGGGACATGCTGGGAGGGTTAGCAGGAAGGACATCCCTGTGGTGACATCCAGCAGGTGTCAGTCTTCTTGTCCAGACCTGTCCCTTAAGTCTGACCTTCCCCCTGGCCCTTGCTCCCCATGTCCTGGCTGCTTGGACCCCGGCCAGGGGAGCAGAACTGAGCTCGAGTCCCCTGCCCCTTGTCTGCCATCTACAGTGACTCTGCTGGGACATGAACCCCCGGGGGCCCAGGCTCTTGGCCAAGGCTACCAAAATAAGTCAAATCCTCCATTTTTCAAACACAATGAGGAGGATTTATTGACCTCAGTAAAACCCTTAAAATCTCCCTCTTCTTTCCCCTTTCAGTTCCTTCCCACTCTGAAGATGCTCCTCACCTTTCTTTCCTCCTGAAAAGTGCCTCTGGAAAACTCCATCTGCAGCCCAAGGACATGCACCTGTTCTCTCTCTTCCCCTCCACTTTCTGCTTCATAAGAATCCAAGAAAATATGCTGGAAGGAGAAGAACCTTCCTGGGAGGGGAGGAGGGGGAGAAACTCGCAGAGGCTGTAAAACTCCTAACACTCCTACGTTAACCACTGCGGCCCCGCCTCCCGCAGAACATCTTCCACTGTGCCATGACCCTGGACCAGCTCTACTTCACCCGCCCTGAGCCCCCGCACTCCAGCTACCGCGGTCCCCTCTGAGGCCTGTATCTCTGCGGAAGTGGTGCCCAGCCGGGTGAGTGCCCCGGGGCCCCCTTCCCTGTGCGGCTGGGATCGGCAGTGCGGCAGGCAGGGGGAGAGGAGGGAGAGCAGGGAAGTCCCACAGGAACGAGAACAAGTCATCCCCCATACCCAGGCTTCTTAGCGCTCAGGAAACGAGGAGCAGCCGGGGCCTCTGCCAGCTGGCTGCACCCTCCACCCTCGGGGTAGCTCACACCTCCTCCTCACGAGGCCTGAGAATAGGTCGCAGAGGCGGCTCTCCAAATGCCGACTTTGGGCTGAGAGAGACCCATGTCCCTGAATCCCCCCTCCAGAGTTTAGATCAGTACAGGCTGGTAACGTTGGTAACGTTGCGTTTCCCAATTTAAAAATTCTTCCCGGCCTCTATGCCAAGCTTAACAGACCTCGCCAAGGCTGCCATTCCTTATGGACACGTCCCAGAGAGGTCTGTACCCCCACAGCTTCCCCCTCACACCCTGAGTCAGTTTCACCACCCAGCACATTGACTTCCAGACTGAGGGGGGCCCTTGCTTGGACTGCTCGCTGGGCCCCCTGCCCAGAGCTCTGGGGGAAGAAGCCTGGAGGTGAGCCTGGAATCTGTCTTAATAGTCGTCCTAGGGCTTCTGATGCCCGCAGTCTGAGCAGCGGCCCGTGGGCACCGATGCTCGGCTTCTCTGTTAGCTCTGGCCCTGCAGGCTCCCTGGGCAGGGTTGTGAGCACAGCTTAGGTTCCTGGGGGACTGGCTTCCAGGAGGGGGCGTCATGGGAGCCGCTGGACGCAATGCAGCCCATGTCGTCTTCAGAGACCCCAAGAGCATGTGACCCTGAACCAACTCTGACCTTGAGATTTTAAGTCCCCGTTGGGTCAGGGCCGCAGGATATGGCTGGGGGCTGACAAGCCCTCGTGCTCAAGCCACATACCGGTTACATTTGATACTTGTTGACCTTGCACCCCTGACTTCCTGGATGAACTGGTTTTGTTCTATTAAAAGCAGTGTTTTATATAGATAGTTTGTGGGGGGGTTTAAAATATATTTTCTATGTATGAGTAAATATTTGCATTTTTCCTATATGTTAGCTTTTTCTGCGTATTCGTAAGTGCATAGGACTATGTAATAATAATAGGTGGGATAAGCTTGTCTAGGATACTCAGCCTTCTCACCTCGGCTGCAAACAGTCCATATGACCCGCAGAAGGCTTTAATTCAAGCACCGCATACTCACTGCAGAGTCCCACTACCAGCTAGACCAGGGGACTGCCCTGGGGGGGTGCTCATCTATTGCTATCACGCTCCTGGCAAACTGTAAGAAAGGACCCAATTCCCTAACGAGCCACAAAGCCATCCATAGGGGCCAGGGGTCCGAACGAAGTTTGGCATCTCAAGCCATCAAAACCACCAATTTGCAGTCAAGGGTGAGGGCGAAGTGGATGCAGCTGAGGGCCACCTGGGAGCTCACATTCCTGATTCGAGAGCATTCAACTTCCTACCTCTCACGAGCTATACCTGTCACATCACTGAAACCTTTAGATGGAAACCTGTGTTATTCTCAAGTGAATTGAGTCGTCACTCTTGATGAGAAAGATTCATACAGATGCCCCGTATATAGTGCAGCTCTCCCCGCCTGCTTCTCCAATTCCAGCAGCCAGGGCTGCTGTGGTCCAGGGGGCCCCGTCAGCAGGGAAAGCAGAAGGTTCCCCGGGGAATCTCTTCCCTCCCCTCCCCAGGAAAATTTATACAGGTTAAGATATAGCCATCTCATTCCTTAATCTTGCTCAACTCAGATTTTTCATCTGCAAAGGAGTTGCTTTAAAGATCAAATAAGACCATAGGTCATGCTTTGGTCCAGGACCAGGCGCACCGCCAACATTCAGCATGTGGCGGCAGTCTGGCTGCTAAGCCTGCTAGGGAAGGTGCCACTGTCGTTCTGTGTTCTGCAGAAGGTGGTCTCTTCAATATTCTTTTTTTAACCTGGCGCCCAGAACTGAAACCAGCCTGCTAGCAGCAGTGTGTCTAGGGTGGAGCAGAGTGAAATTTGAGTCCATGGAGCTTTTTCCATAAGAACGGCTGCCAACCTAGGGTCTGTGTTCAGCTCTGGCACAAGTGACCTTCTGAGCTTGTTGAAAATCTGGTTCTGGTCTGGGTTCTGAGATATACTTTCCTCACTTGCCCTCAACCCCCCACAGGCTTCCTCCCGGGACCCAAGGCGGGGAAATGTTTAGAAGACAGGAAGGAACCAAGGGAGGAAAAAGCATGTGGGGTAGGGCAAATGCTGGCTGAAATCTCTAGTCACTAGACGGGTCTTCATTCTCTGGGAAGTCAGGCTCCCTGGTCCAGCTCACCCGGTTCCCAGCACTGGCATACAAAGAGCAGAACTGAATAACAAATAGGAACCTGCCCAATCCCCGGAGGCCTGGGGCACATCACATCTGATCTGGTGTTTCAGAATGTCCATGATTGGGGCGGGGGGGCGAGGAGTTGGTGAATAAAAGTCACAAAAGGGGCTCCTGGGTGGCTCAGTCGTTAAGCGTCTGCCTTCGACTCAGGTCATGATCCCGGGGTCCTGGGATCGAGCCCCGCATCGGGCTCCCTGCTCGGCGGGAAGCCTGCTTCTCCC